TCTTTTCACCGAAATCGAGGAACCGACCTTTGAATCTCTTCACCAAACACTTTCACTCGAAATGGAAGTAAGCTGAACATCTTCACATAGTCCAAGATCTGCGATCGTCCATCCATTTTTGGTCCTTTGCCATCCCAGATCTGTTTTACCCGCTATCGACTATCAGTGATTCGTAATAAGCGATCGGCCAACCTCGATTATCCTTACCCATTCCTCGATCCGTGATCCGTGATCCGTGATCCACCTCCTGCTGACGCGAACGATCTTTTACAACCAACTTGGGTCCGAATTCTGCAGCTTCTCTCAACATTGAAGTGAGAATAATAAGCACTCGCCAACCTGATAGAACTAAATCTTCCATCCTCAACCTCAGTTTCACTTTAACTGCACAAAGAAGGTTTAATGTATCGCCGGGAGAACAATTTATCTGACTCACTGTTGACTTGAGACCTTAAATGTATTTCAACAGCTCGGCTGCAAGCAAAAGCTATTCGATTTAGCAAAAATGGACGTCCTGCTGTGTCCGATCAAATCCAACATATTATTCCTAATGTTGGACAAAGCAAATCTGGAAGTTAAGAGGACAGAGTAAAATAATATACCACCCTTGACTCAGTCAGTTCCCATTCTGTTTTCAATGAAGTCGTCCCAACGTGACCTTTTAGTGAATTTTGTAAACTCTCGTTATTTAGTTGCTCGGAGCAAAATGGCAATTTTAGGCATTAACAATAGTCCATATTGCTTGATTTAACTAAAATTAATCTTTTATCATCCATTCTGCCCGAGGCACACTCCTCTTCGTCCGCCCTTGAGCTGCGATTCGTGATGTCGAGTTGCGTCGTCTTTGACTGTTTTCTAACTTACAGACTTGACCCAGCCGAGGTCGCTTATGACAAAGGCTGGCCTGAAGTGTTGGCCTCTTCCGGGTCTCATAAGTAGAACTCCACTGGATTCAAAAATTGGTTCTCGACCCTAAACTAACAACAAGTTGTCACCCCACCACATAGACACGAGCGCCAATCGGTGTCAGAGCAGATATTACCATACAGACGAGCCATAGCATGCTATATTTACACTTTTCTGGTAAGACTATCGGTTAGACAATATTTTAATTGCTAATACGATCCACAATATTGCTTATATTCATGCCGAATGAGTTTTAAGGACATCAGTGGATCCAGACTACTCAGCATGAATATAAGTAGTTTCGCCGATTGTCATGTCCAATACAAGTCTGTCTTGTCGAATATAGCCCCAAGAGGAATGGTAAATTCTGAAAGACCTGGACTTCTTCAAAAGTCACATCTGCCCTGACGATTATTGACTCCGGTAACTGGAGACTGAGTCATCATTTAACGCTGGTTCAAATCCTGTTTGGAGATAGAGCGCTCAGTCCAATCGGGATGAGAATAACTTTATGGGTGCAAAGAATGTTAATTTCATTGTGGGAAATTCAGATATTAGTAGTAATATTACCTTAAATGAATTAAACTGATATAATCGCTAATTTAAGATGTACTGATTGTATTGTAACCTACTCACTACGCTTATAAGTAGCCTGTAATAATGACAAAATAATTTTGCTTCTTAATCGGGTTTATTCATTTTATTGCGAGAAATGCCACTTCGACAGTTCAGACAAACTCTATTATCTACTCTCCCTTATATAAGCATCAATTTAAGTGGTACAACCAATAATTTTTTTACATGCTGGGAAATTCAACTTTCTAATTCACAAACTACTAAATGCATACCGATGCATATCTTCGTATGTGTCCGTCTAATCATGATGACCTAATTCTTCGTCAACCTAAGCCATGTCAGGCTTCCCAAAAGTCTTTTCTCTTTTCGGTCCTAGACCTCGCCTTGTCATCGCCTTCGCAGGCCGAATCGGAATTGAAAATGAGATAGCAACGGTACTTTGAGATGAAGCACAAAGTTAGCTTACACGGGCAAAATCAAACCTTTGCTGCGATTCTGCGTGGATAGACATGAGGCTCGTTAAAACAACAGGGGATTCGAAAAAAAGCTTAATAGCCCCGAGCTCAATTCCTATATATGTTATACACCATCATTTGTACTGCTTCTGACAGCGTTGTCATAATAGAATTTGGTAGATATTGGATAAATCAGGAGACAGCCCAGATCTATTTAAGTTGGGTCATTCGACGTAGATATGAAGACCAAAATGGTCACTGTCTCCTTTTGCTGTATAGGCTCATTCTGACTTTGTTTTTGCGGCTAGATCGTGTCTTGAGTCAGATTTCGATTGATCTAGTCTCCGATTGTTGACTGAGCACTTTTCAAGACAGTTTGTCAGCATCGTCAATTACTAGTGTCCTGTAGTATTTCTGCTACATCATAGCCTGGCACATTTCCAAATTAATTGCACGAAAGCCTCGTTCTTCACTTCCATTTCACATGCAGAAAGAGGGCTCCAAGTTGGATCAGGGAGCAATGACAGTCGGACTGAGAACTCAGGGTTGCAACAAATTTGGGCCCCAAAGCCACAATTAAAGCATTTTTGGAGGGAAACATTGCAAACCGGGATGAGATGGGAAATGCTGATCAAGGGAGCAACTTCACTCTGACGCGCTGCCGGGAGCATTCATTACATTCGTCATGACAACACGACCATGTCGAGAGGACGAGGCTTTATCAACAGTAAACGAGCAAAATGGGGTATATTTTCAGTAAAAGTTGTGTTTAAGACTATTAGCGATTTTTTAATTGAGTTAAGGAGTGATTATTGAACTTTCCTTCTCACTTCGGTGCATTCGATGCGGTTGCTTTTTTTCGATATGAGTAGTTTTGAAGATGATCAGCCCAAGTCGGTTAAGATTATTTAAGGATATTTTTTGCTATTCAACTTTACTGTGGTACCTATTCCCAATGCGTTAAGGCTCCGAGGCTGTCAGTGGTAGTTTCGAAAAATAAAGAAGTGTCCATTGAAATGAAAAATAACACACAACTATATGAATGTGGTTTGGCCGAGATCTGGTCGGTTTTCTGACCCATTTGTGATGGTGGTAAGTGCACCATGACACCCACGACTCGGGTTCGAATCCCGATGGGGTGGCGACGAGACAAGTCCCAGACAATGGTCCAGCATGGATGAAAGAATCTTTTGAGGGAAAGAGCTATTTGTCTGCTTGTAGGCAAAACTCAGCTTTCAGTACTTACATCACTTCAAGCGGTCCAGGCCGACTAATCACTCATTCAAGACGGGAACATTCGGAGAGTAACTAGTTTGGGATGAATCTCCAGAAACGACAGTCTTTCATTGGCCCTCATTTTGTGTGTAAGTGTGTCGGTGTGCGTGATGAAGAGAATATGAGACGACGTGTAATTTCGGTTGTTCTCCAGTCGGTTACTGCTTCCATGACGCTTAGGCTTACGCTATTGACGGCTAAAGTGAAGAAGGACTGAGCTTCCGACAGACATCCTCACAGAAGGGTCTCATATTTATGCATGATTCAAGTTAACTCCAACTAAAGCAGACCTTAGATGTTGTAAATACTAAAAATTGATTGAAAAAGATTATATAATTTAGTATACTGCATTGAATAGTCCTTTTTATGTTGACCCAGGTATTTATATGTTTGTATGTGTGAATGTACGTATGTGAGTCTGGTTAGGCAACCAACCTCCTTAGAACCATGCAACCCAAAATGTCATTTTACAATCATCTGCTGGCCAGACTCATTGTCAATCCAGTTTCCTTTTCGTATAAAAGCAGAGTTTTGAGGCTATCATTAAATCTGTAATATGGGATGAATGATTGGTAGTAGCTGACGGCTCCATCCAATTTCACATGTTCTGTTTTTCCCATCTGCGCTAAAGGTGACTGTAGTTTCAACCTTGCCCATGTTCTATCCACACCCCCAGCCAGTAGTCGAGCGATGCCAGTGCAGCGTGTCATCGCAACACGTTAACAACTACCCCACATTGCCACTAGTGGTGTGCATTCTTTGTTGGGATTGTCGACGAGCAAACGTGGGTTAAAGTGGGTTGTCCTCGTTTTCGCAACTTGTCGTGGACTAAGTCTGATGCTGGGAATTATGATGACCATTATGGCAGAAGACCTTGACAACAAGACCAAGTTGCTCTTTTATAAATCGAAAG